AGCACGGCCCGGTGAATGAACGGGTGAGGCGTTGGGAGGCGCTGCCCGGGCCCGTTTGGAGTCCCCATCCCCGGGACATCCCCGGGACACCCCCGGGACACCCCCGGTACTCGGGGCTGGGCTCACGGTGGCACCGGGCACAGCCCGCTCTCCACGAATTCCACCCGTCCCCTCACCCCGCTCCAGCCTCTCTTTCCAGCCTGGCTGCGATTCCAGCACCGGCGGAGCCTGCCAGGGCTGCGAACTATCAGGGGCATTTTTCAATTTGCACTCAATTATCGGCGCAGACCTCGGGCTCGGTGCCCTCCYTGGGAATTCCCAAAATAGAAGCCGGATCCTYGGTTAGTTTTTTGTTTCTGTCTTTACCCAGGAAATTTTGTTACCGKTCCCACCTGGGATATTTACACCAGAAATGCAGCCGGGTGGGAGCGGGAAGTGGAACATCACCATCCCAAAGATTCTGTCCAGCGTTAAACACAAAATTCCTTTGTATCCCCAGCCAAACCAGAACAGGAATTTTCCTCGTAGGGCTTCGTAATTTGGGACAGAGATAATTTTGGCAGATCTCACCAGAAAGTCTCTAATTTGTARAGGAATTCTGATTGTTGCTTAAAAAAGCCACTGAGGGAACAGTGCATTGGCACCTATGGAGGAAGCAGAGTTTGTTTGCCAAGTTCCAAATAACAACAAAACCAATAAACAAAGGAAGTCATCGCAGTTATTTCAATTTAAATGCAGAAGCACTTCCTCGCTTTCACTCAGTCCAAATACAGATTAARAASTGGAARGGAATTTCAATGAAATCTAAGTATCTGAAAGTGCTTAATGTTAACATTGGCCTTAAAATAAACTTATTTAAAACTTATTTGATACTGCTGTTTAATTTCACAGCTTTTATCAMCTCAATGCTATTTTATTTCCTTCATCTGCATTTGTTAATTTATGGTTCAATTTATTYCTCTGGTTYRGTGGAGWTGCTCACCCTTGTTCCTATAACACCTCAAATATGATGCATGACATGGCACTTGMARCAATTTTGGGATTTATTCATTAAATGTGCAAACAATTCCAAGYGCCAGKTGATATTTGGAATTTAGAGCAGTGGAAATCCAATGCAAGTTTAAAAGAAAAGTTTGGAGACTCCTGAGATTTTAAGCTGAACATAACCCATGCCCTCAYTTSAGCCTAGAAGCAATTATGTTGAAGAATATCAAATGAGTATTTTCCAAATTTGCAGGGAAAAATCGTAATGAAAATCACAGCCCTCAGAAAAAATGAAAGGCTTGGCTTAATGGGACATAAATTCAAATTCCTGCACAAGGAATTGGGTCTGGAAACCCACTCTGGATCAAAAGAATTGAAGGAGAACGCTCAACATTTAATTTGAAAAGATATTTATTTTGAGAATATCAACTTGCACATTATACAAAAAAATGACAAATTCAGCAAAAAAACCTATAAAATGTGTGGGGTTTTTTTTCCCTAACATATTAACATAATCATTTTCCAAAGGGTAAGAGTTGAGAAAACCAAAAATAGGCACATTTGTTCCAGTCTGTCTGCAGTAAAGTGTGATTAAAAACGTCCCTGTCTTGCTGAGGTATCAAACTGCAAACTTTGGTAATGTTAGAAAAAGACCAAGGGAGCCTTGTCAGTGGCATGGGCAATACAAAATATGATTCATAGAAAGGCCAGAATTGCTTATTTTTCATTTCCAGATAGAAATGCAGTGAAACAAARTAAAAAAAWTTTTAAAAAAACCTCCTTAATACACCTATCACTAGGAAACCTGATCCTCTGCAAATCCCCACTAATCACACACAGCTACAGTGATCCACGTTCCCCAAGAATCCGGCTGGCAAGTCACAACAATTCAGTGCTTATGAAATCAAAATTCAAAAAAAAAAATTAAAAAAAAAAAAATAGACCTTGATGGTGATTCAGAGCCCAGTCTTCCAGCAAAGGACAAAAGGCACTTAAGAATGGCTTTAGGATATTCCACAATGGCATTTCGGGACAGGGGACAGCGCTTGGCTGAACAAATCCTTCCCTAAGARAAGTCCAGTGAGGTAGTACTTCATATTGCTCCAACCACTTGGCTCTAAGCAAAGCAGCCTTCTGGTTTTGAGATATAAAATTAGCAGGAAATGGCTTTTTTTTGTTGTTGTTGTTGAATGTATAAAACCCAGTTCTTACAAAAAAAAA